CAACGTGAAACTTTCCAGTCTGAAAGCTTAACCTTTTATCTATGTCTGGCCGCTGATTTCACTCAATTCGAAGTTGTGGTTAGCGAGATACGCCCTTCCAAAGTTGACAATGCAGCCCGGCCCGAATTCTGTCTAGCTTGCTTCTTTTGTCTCCAAAGAGGTAGCAAACGTTCTTTATTGGCTTTGAATTTTTGATATGTCTTTAGGGACATCGATATCTATCTTTGAGAGTTGGAATTACCTAATTCCAATTTCCGGTTTGTGAGATATGGTCTCTAAAAGACACCTCAGAAATCTGGACATTATCCTTGCAAATGGAGCAATATTGCAATGGGCTACTCGGCGGTGTTTCATGGGTGGTGGCTGTGGTCTTGGCCATTGGGAATGTTCAAACAAATATGCCATACCATATGAAGAGTGGGTCATGATTCATGAGGAGGAAAAGAAAAGCTCATGTGACCAAGTTGTCATTGAGGAAGTCGTCTTTGATATTCTTGTTAAAGATGAAGATAACGTCTTCGTAGAAGAACCAGATTCTAATGCTCAGAAAGAATCACACTATAATGATTCTATCCTTATTCAAGATGACTTTGTTGATGAGGTAGTTATAGAGGAAGCCACACCGAAAGTTATATATTTTAAGGAAGTGATTTCCATAGAGTATTATCCTCCTTTTGGTGAAGGAAAATCTTATCTCATCTCCGAGATATGTTTGAAGCAGGTTCTTACAAGGAATGGCATCATGTTCCAGAAATTACACAACGAGTGGTCCACTAATTCCGGAAGGAACCTCATTATTGGTGGTTTGTTGAATTTTCCATTTGATCCAGGAATTCTTTTACAAAACCCCAATCAGTCACGGTGGTGCGAAAGTTTGAAGACAAACTTTCTTTGAAGAAGGGAGTATGATATACCCCCAGATGGCTCCACCAAAACCCCAAACTCTCCAAAATATCCAAAAGCCTTTAATCTTCATTTGATAATCCTAACTCTTATCCCTTTATCACAAATATCTTGATTTAACACAAGGTATGGGGTGTGTCACCTTGTTAGAGTTAAATCAATGGTTTATTGATTCTTCGATTGACTTGCGGGATTCAAATAACATATTTATTTGGGCATGGCCATGCACTTCCCAAGTCACATCAATTAGTGGGCCCTAAGATATTATACTTCATTAAAGAAGGGATAAATTCTATCTACGTCATTCACACCTTCGCTTAAGTTTCATTGCATACCCAAAACATAACTGTACATCCACCAATATTTCACATGGCATAAATCATGCCTCAAAGTATACAACTCAACTTACCAAACAATGTAACGACTTCAAGTTGAAGGATAGTTATACTAATGGTCGCATGAGAATAATATTAACACTCTAACTTAAACCCATATATTATTCTCATAGCGGGTGAATCCAGCAATATATCCAATATGTCTGCCTACGTATAGATTCAGATAACACTTTATTTATAGCCTATGAGACGAAACTATCTCATCTCATACGTATTAGTCTTGATATATTATGATGTCCGTATTGTCATAATATTCGACTTAGGATATTTTAGACGTAGCCTCTATCTTTGTAACAGCCTCATAATCAGAACGTCGTAGTTCTCATCTGTGTTACTAGAGCACCTACTCTATGGACTAAAGCTATGTTTAAATCACACGAGACGACTTAAACAATCTTCAGGGCCTATTGTTCTTGATATAACATAGATATGGAATCATAAGTTGGTCTCTAGGGCTCACTTATATTCAACAATCTCCCACTAGCACTAAGGCCAATTATGGTTTCCATGTATGCCTCATGCACGAAGTGTGATCCTCGTGTATAGGTTTTCCCAAAGCCTAGGTCAATAAGTTAAGAGATTGTTTATCCTTTTCTATCTTGAAGAATTTGATACTTTCATTTTATGACTATTCGTATGTTGTTGTGAGATCTAATGATATTTTGGTTTCTTGGTGTAGCTTCTATAGCTCTTGTAGTAACCTTATCGTTGTCAGTACAACGACACATGGATTTCTAATGCTAAGAGCAACGTTATCCTTTTGAGAAGCTATCAAAACCAGAATATCTTCCTTTTGCTACTTCCAAAGTTGCAAATTTATCTCACTTATATGCGTACGACACTATGTCAATACTTTATGTTTTTGTTAATTTCAACTGACCTTATGGTTGTTCTAAACAAGCTATTTTTGCGTAACATTCACACTTAAGCCTTTTTAGAAGACCATATTCTTTTGTCTCTTCTTAAGAATCAAAAGTTAACTTTTACAAAGTTGACTACTACTCTTAGCTCAGCTTGGACACATATAAAATATATTCCTTTAGAATAAATCAAGTCCATATCTCATGGTACTCTATGGAATGATTTCCATGCGGTCCTTTTGTAGAGTGAGTCTCCAAAAAGGCTTTACCCTGAGAATCATGCAAGTTTCAAGAACTTCCATATATGTACTGGTCTTAGATTATTCCTAGTTCTTTTGATCCTATGGATTCTTTAGACTTGAGCAAATAACTACTATTTGCATTCATGAATGATAAGTTTTTAATTTATTTTGTCAATGATATGCAACATACTTATTGTGCTCCCACTAGTCTTCAATAAGACTTTTATCCTAGACATATAAGTGCTATAACTGGTTATAGATAATTTGAAACCCTTCTTTTATCCTTGATAGACTCGTCCAAAATAAGTGTTAAAGTGTCTTCATTTATATGAGACTTACTTTCATTACTTATTTTTAAGGAAGGAATCGTTTTAGAACAGTTTCCAAGCGCTATTTCCTTTCAGAGTCTACAATGATTATTTTAGTGCATAAGGTTCAGTAGTATTTGGCAAGGTTACATAATCCTCTTTATTAGACTAACTATTTTAGTCACGTTATCTAGACACTACAAGAAAACTATCAATTTGCCACGAACAATTTCCATTGCAGAATTTGAAATTTCGTGGCAGATTGCTAATCTGCGACAGAACTGCAACGAAAATTTTCCGTCGCAGAAAAGTTGTGGCAGATTGAAAATCTGCGACGGAAATTAAATTCCGTGGCAGATCTGCGACGGACCTGCAACGGGTACGTCCGTCTTTTGCACCCCAAATATCTGCGACGGAAGTCTTGAATCCGTCGCAAATTTGCGATACAAGTAGCGACGGGTCTCTCCATCGCAGATAAGCGACAAAGGCAGCAACAAGGTTTTCCGTCGCAGACTACCTGATCATAGCACCAACATTTCCTATTTTTAGGCAATACCAGGGGCAACACACATTCAAATTTCACACGCATAATTCTAAACATGATTTCAATACGAAATAGATAATTCAAAACGAGATTAATTAAAACTTCACGTGCAAATGTAACATAATTAATAATCTTGTAAAAACACGAAATATTAAAGTGCTTGTGTCAAATGTCAAAGATGTCAACAAATCCCGGGCTGTCCTGCCCCTCCCATTCCATCGTCATCGCCTCGTGGAGGAAGATTACCACCATATAACTTCCTTATCTCCTCCTGAATCGTCAGCGACAAGCTTGAGGTTAAATTATCAAGTTATTCCTGCAGCCTTTGGTTTTGCTCTTTAAGTGCTGCCATCTCCGCCGCGCTGCTACTACTAGTGCTAGAACGGCGAGGTTTAGAGGACGGATTGATCTTCTTCATTTCCTGCGCGTAGTCACCAACTCCAGAAACACGGTTCTTTGCGTAGTCATCTCCGCCGTGTCCACCCATTCTTGACTAACAACACCTTCTCTCTCATATTTCTTATACATCAACTCACGATTTTCGAATGGACTCATTCTAGAAATGCCTGGTACATGAAAGGCAACAAACAACAATAATTTAACCAAGAATATCAATTACATTTATTACCAACAAACCATAGCAACAATAAAGGCGGCTAACAAACGACAATCTTATTAAACCACAAACAACAATAATTCAACTATAGATATGAACTTATCATCACCTTAATTTCACAAAATTAAACTAAATTTTACCTAAACTCACAATAAACATCAAATTTACTAACATAATTTTAACTAAAATTACATGGCCTTCAATTTCACCAAAAAGTAGTACAATTTTTACCCAATTTCAAGTCAATTTCATCTCATATTCACACAATTTTTAGTAAATTTCACCAAAAATGCACTCAATTTCACACAAAGAAATTCAATTTCACCAAAAATTAAATTAAACAAAAATAACATCACCGCAAAGAGGAAGAGGAGGTCGGCTGCGGAAGAGAGACGGCTGGCGGGGCTGGGGAGGACAAAGCCGCTGGGGAGGACGCAGCCGCTGGCGACGCTGGGGAAGACGGCGTGGATGGCGCAGCTGGGCGGGACGATGGGTGGAGGGTCCGGCGTGGCTGGCGAGGATGTTCGTCGGTGGAGAGGACCGTCGTTGAAGGCTTGGCGGAGGGGTGGCGTTCGCAGGACGGCGGAGGGGGAGAAAGAATCGGGATAGGGTTTAACTGAAGGACGAATGGCTGGAAAATTTTGACTCTCGTTTTTTACTTTAAACCTGCTACGGATCTGCGACGGGTGTGAGGTTCCATCGCAGATGTTTAGGTCAAAATTTGACCACCTTATATTTGCGACGGTACCAAATACTCCGTCACTGATTTGCGACGGAAAATACAAATCTGTCGAAGATTATGCTTGTTTTTCGAGAAATACAATTCCGTCGCGGATTCGTTGCAGATCTGCTACGAACTTAAGTCCGTAGCAGATTTCCGTTGCAGACCAGACAAATTCTAGTAGTGAGATAATGCTTTAGGGAACGTCAATTTCATGATCGTATCACTTTTGCCTTTTCTATTATGTAACTTTGGAATTAATATCACTTCTTGATCTTTATTAAGTGTGCTTTATTAATGCTAATGGCAAGTTTAAATTTCGAAAATTTAAATAAAAAGGGTACTTGGCTATAACCTTTATAAAGATATCCTTATATCTCTAAGTGGTTATCACTTCATTCATAATTTTGTGACAAACTTATCAATTGATTAATATTTGTACTTTGTAGCCTTGGTATAGTTGTTGTATTGCGATATGCTTGTGAGGCAAAATATTTGATCATATGAAATACTTTTATAAATGGAGCAACAATTTGTCCTTTATTGAAATAACCAATAATACTTAAAACAATAAGTAAACATCAATTCAAAATTGAAAACTGATCAAATACTAAAACTTAAACTAATGCGCCACAAAGATGCAACCCTTTGATCTTCAAGATAAACTCTCCTACTTCTTCTCTTCAGTTCCTACAACGGTTTGCAATACTATAAGTATCGAATACTTTTGAAGAGATTGTAGATTCGTTTAAGTCTTTAAAACAATTGTACCTGAAGCAGAAGCTTCACCCTTTTTCTTGGTTGCCAAATACTGCTTGCAATTCCTCTCCCAGTGGCCAACTTCACCACAGTGATGACAAATGGAATCTTTAGCCACTCCACCTTTAGGCTTGAGCTCGGAAGAATCGGACTTTGGCTCGGTGTTACCCTTGCCTTTAGGCCCATTCTTCTTTGCCTTCTTGAACTTCTTCTTGCCTTTTCCTCCTTGAACTAGAAGGACATAATTCCTCTTTCCTTTCGTCAAGCTCTCTTCGGCAGTTTGCAGCATCTTCAAAAGTTCTAGCAGTGGTTTATCGAGTTCATGCATCTCGTAATTAACCACAAACTGCTTGTACAACTCTGGCAACGATTGCAGAATCAGATTAGTTGCAAGTTCAGTCCTTAGTTCGAAACCCAATTTCTCAAGAGTTTGGACGTAGCCAATCATTTTGAGAACATGCGGACCAACGGGGTTTCCAACTGACAACTTGCAACTAAAGAGAGCTTTGGAGATCTGGAATCTCTCATGCCTAGCTTGTCCTTGGTAGAGCTGTCTTAGGTGTATGATCATATCGTACGCCTTCATACTCTCATTGTAACGCTCCAAAACATACCCTAGAGTTATTAATGAATAAATAATCAATTAATCAATTGTTGGGCTTTGGGCCGATATGAAATTTGTTTTGACATCTAATATCAAAATCTGGATAAGTCTCATAGAGATAAATCCAATATGTGGACTATTTGTGTGGTCTTGATTGGGAACCTGAGTACAGGCCCAAATCAAGAGTAAATAAAGAATTTGTTTAGAATGTGAATATTGAAATGATTTGTTGAAATAACTCATTAGAACAAATGATATGAATTAAATGTGAGAAACCTTTTTGAATAAAGATCAACTAAATCAATTTTTACTCTGTCAAAGTCAAACACCCAAAAATATGATGTCAGAAAAAGTATAACCAATAAATATAAAAATTATATCGTTGGATAGAGTTTAACTGTCCGATCGCAACGGTGTAGACGGAATTCAATTCGGAGAAAGTTGGACCAAAAAGTGTACCCTGACTGGAACCAAATTTGTCCTAATCAGGGAGTGGCATGTAAAATCCTACAAATCGCCGCTCACTCCACTCAGCCGATTACACAGGGAAAGGAAGCAACGTAAATTTGGCTCCTTCCCCATCACCATTCCTATATAAGAGAACCCAAGCTCTTTCATTTCTTCACCAAACCTCTCCATTCTTTATTCTATTCTGTTCTTTGTTGAGAGAGGAGTACAGTGGTGCTATCAATTTGGTGAGAGGTTGCCAGAGCTAACCACAAACCTCGCCGGAAGTTTCGTCGGAAAATATCCAAAACCTTCGTTAAGCTTCGAGGTAAGCCCGTAGATATATCTAGTGACTAGAATGTTCGTATAGATTGTTTCTACGTTCATAAACGGTCGTTTTGTTGAGTTTTGTGTTTGACATTCTTGAAGAACCAAGAATCATAAACCTTGAAATTGATGTTAAAACTATGAATTAATGATGCCAAAATGATCTATGAACCTTGGAGAACATCTCTATATAGTTTCGTTGAAGTTCGATAACTAAAAACGGTATTTCCGAAATTGGACCCGAACAAAGAAGAAGATGAACATAGCTGAAACGCCACTGTCTGGATCGATCCAGGGGCTTGGATCGATCCCCTGGGAGTGATTTTTCATAGTTTGGATCGAACCAGAGGGCCAGATCGATCCCCCGAAGTTCTGATCCGAAAATTTGTCTGAAATTTCTATTTTTGAGCTCTAAAATCCTATTTTTGATACCAATGGATTATGATCATTATAAAAATGATTTACCATAATACAAATGATGTTTTTAACAACTAAAAATGTTATGTGTTGCATGACGGTAAGTTCGGGTGTTAACACTCGAAGCTAGGCCGCTATTTATTATCAATTGTTGTGTTAATTGATGATTATGATAAATGAATATTATGGATGATTATGAGTATTGAACCTACTGATTAAAATAACATAAATACTAACTTAGTACTTATTTTACTTTACATTTATAATTATGAAATGATTTGTAGTGTTAAGGGTATCTAGAAGAACTCTAAGGTATACACATTTAGAAAATTGATGTTAAGGCTATCTAGAAGACCTCTAGAATAGATCTCATATTAGTATGGATTTGTGAAACATGAATATTCGATGAATTAGATAAAAATGCATAAACGGGATTCGTAGACCAAGCTAGAGGATTACTCGTTTGGAAATGCCCGATCCAATGTTGATCAATCGTTATATTGTTGTTGCCTTAACTGACTATAGTTAAGTGTCCGAAATCATTTGCCTTAAACTAATGACAGTTTAAGTGTCTGATTGCCTTAACTGACTATAGTTAAGTGTCCGAAATCAATTGCCTTAAACTTATGATAGTTTAAGTGTCTGATCAATAATTGCCTTAAAAGAATCTGGTTATGGAAGTTATGATTTGGCCTTAGACTAAGAATAGCTAAGAGCATTATTATGATCTAGCCTTAGACTAAGAATAGCTAAGAGCGTTGTTATGATCTGGCCTTAGATTAAGAATAATTTAAGAGCACCATTGAGATAGTATCTGAATTGAATAAAATGTGTTGATATGAACTGAATAATATCAAAACTGTGAATGTCTGAAACGAACATTGTGTGCATGATATCAAAAGATTTGATTATGAATTTAGATTCAGTTTATATGGATGTTCGACGCATTAGATATGCTTACTCAGCTTTACCGCTGAGCGTGTAGTGTGTTTTATTTGCTACACGCAGGTAAACAGAAAGATTAATGTTATCCTGGCGGCAGATGGAGCGAGATTGTCGGGATGGATGTGATAAGTTTGAAATGATTTATGATATGTCAAAATTAAATTCGCTTCCGCGAGATTGTTGAATACTCTGTACTGTATGTGTTATGAAAAGTATTATTGTGATAAATAAAAGTGTTTGAAAAGTTTTAAATTTTTACGATTACCAAGTTAAATACTTTAGTCCAAAAGGAGCTGCAGACCTAGACAGATTAGGGTGTTACGCTCATGATGTTTCTAAATGTCAGAAGTCATCGTAGCCAACAGGAGACATGCCACGTCATTGTCATCATCAACATGCTTCTCATAAGTATCCTTGATTGCTCTAGAAGCATTGGCGGCTGGGACAGGTGGGATGGCTCGTTCGAGCACATATTCTTTCTTCTCGAGTCGAAGAATGATAACAAGGTTTCTTTTCCAGTCTAAGAAGTTAGAGCCGGTCAACTTATCTTTGTCGAGGATCGAGCGAAGAGTGAGGTTATGGTTGTTATTAGACATCTACATATAATTTGCAAGATAGTTAATATCAAGAATTTAAGTAATTAGCTAAATCTTTAACTAATAACTCTCCAACTATTTTAACAAATCAACTACCCTCAAGTACGTAACCCGTTGATTCCAGACTTCTCCTAAAGAGATATCTTAGTGGGCCAAGGTCCATATTACATTTAACTATAGTTGTGCTTTGCATCTTGCCCTATAGTTAAACTAATCAGGTAGGAACTTATTTCCAATTGTGATCCAATTACAATCATTGGTTTGTTAGGTTGTTCTAAATAAAATCCTATATTGGGCCTAGATCCTTATTTCATCTAACTATAGTTGTGCTTTGCATCTTGCCCTATAGTTAAACTATTTCAGGTAGGAACTATTTCCAATTGTAACATTTTACAACTCTAGGTTAGATGAATTTGATTTTATTTATTAACCTAATCATGTGCCTCTAAGTTATTCATATTTTTATCTTAACTTAGTTAAGTTCAACCCGGGGCGTACTCAGTATCCATTGTTACGGATTTTGCGTCATACCAATGTAAACCAGGCGTCCCGCTTTGGCGTGTCCGTTGACTGGTCGAAACTGGTATCGACGAGTGAGTCGGCGTCGGAAGGCACAAACTTAATATTACGAGGGATTTCAAACGTCATTTCACCTATGGCATGTGTCGCGCACATACACTAGCGAATATCATACAAACATATATACAAACATGTATAATGAATAAAACGTGACATGGTTGTGGCCTCCTAAAGAACTAACGATAAAGCCTTCACTTGAGATCTCTATCTCCACCTTCACCTTCTTTCTTTAAGAATGCTTTAGTCTTCAAGTTCATCCCTTTCTTGTTCGTGTCCTCTTCTTCTTGGCTTCTACATCTTCATTGCTTCTTCATGGACTTCTTTATTAAATCGAGAGAAAAGAATCCTTGGTTTTTAAGCAAGGGGTATGAGGTTTAAGAAGAGATTTACAACCAGAATTTAGAGATGAGGCACGACACGCAGGCCGTATTTAAAATCCAAAAATTCTAAGCCACAACCATGAACCATGCATACATTCATACATCACATGCATAAAACCATACACTGGGTAAGCCGCGCTTGCCCCAAACCTAGTTTATTCTAAGAAAAATAAACTACAAGTCTAAAAACTATCAAATAATTTTATTTAACTTTATTTTAAAACTCCAAAATATCCAAAATTTAATTTTGAAATTTCCTGAATTTTAAAATAGTTAATTGCCGTAAATATAGGTATTAATTTCGAAATTGGGATTTTAATTTGAAATAAATACATATACCTTTTGAAAATTAATAAATAAATTCCAGAATGTGTATTCCGATTTTATAAGTCTGAAAATAAAATTTCCAGAATTTATAAAATTTATTTTCGAAATTCCTTTTTCAAATACCCAAAATCGGACTTCTATTTTACAAACATTAAGTCCGAGTTTCCAAAAATTAATATTTTCCAAAACTATTTACTTTGGGTCCGAATTGTTCTAACAATCAAATTTCCAGAATTAAATAAATTTTATTTTCGATATTTTGGAATTTGTTTCCAAAAGGAGTTAAATTAATTTCCAAAATTAATTTAGAATATTCCAAATATTCCAAAAATCCCTATTTTCCAAAAATAAAGTTTTTTACTCATGTACAATCTGAAAAATATTTTTTCCAGATTTTACTTATATTTATTTTCGGTACTTTCTATTTATTATATGGTAATCCATAAAACAATTTCTAAAATTATTTTCAGGTACCATAATTGTTCCAAAAATCATTATTCTCAGAATATTAAGATATTATTACCATATATTAAATTTCCATAATTTAAAATTAATTATTTAATTTTCGGGAATTAAATACCGAATTACCAAATCTGTTTTCCCAAAAATTAATAATTAAATACTTAAATTAAGAATTTAATTCTCACAAATTTTATGCAGTAAAAAAATCATATATTCAATTTTATAAAATTATAATCCCGAATTTGAATTGTCCGTTTCGGTTTAATCTATATTAATACCAAATAAGATTATTTAAATCGGGAAAAATAGAAAGTAAAATCAGAAAATTTATTTAATATTCCAGATTACTTAAAATCATATTTTAACATCTCAGAAGTATTAAAATTATTTTGCTTAATTTATTTTGTATTTATCTTGTAATTAATCAAATTAACTACAAATCAACTAATACTTTATAAATTAGAAAATAAATTCCGAAAATTAATTTTATATCTCTAGAGCTCTTTAAATCATATTTGAAAGTCTCAGATTTAATAAGATTTAATTTTCGAATTTTCGAAATATTTTAATGGGTTAAAACAGTTTTTAACCTATTAACCCGAAAATAAAAATAAATCCAAAAT